GAATTGCACACATGGCTTAAAAGACCATCTTAAGTGAGGCCTGGAAAGCTTTTTCCCTTCTATGTGAATATTGACAAGAATTAGAAACAACAGAAATCTTAAAAGTTCTAAAGATAAGAACTGACAGGAAGTTAACGGAGGAGCACCCTCCGATTAAGCCATTAACATCACATAACAAATGTGATCAGCAAGTTGGGCCACTGCCAGCTAGTGATTAGATCCACAGAGTCCGAGTCTCCTGTGTCTCCTGTGGGGCCTGTGCACCCTGTTCCTGTTCACAAGGAACACCGTTGAAATGGCCACTCAGCACCGCAACTTGGGAAGATCAGACTTCCTTGAGGTGGAGCTTATTGCCCAGAATAAATCACCGGACTTAGTCAGGAGGATCGAGAAGCCTCTGACCAGAAGAAATGTCTTCTTTTTCTAAAGTGTGCTTTGTAGACACTGTTTGTATGAAGTCCTTGAGTGACCTCGTCATATCCAGAGTTTCCATTTATAAGATGATGACTCAGTTCCCACTTCTAGCTCAGAACTTTCTCGTAGGCTCTAGATTCATGGCTCCAAGTGTCTGGACATCCCATGTTTCAAATGTTTGAAGTCAACATACATGCTCGCACATGCACACACATGCACACTCTCACAAACACACACTTCCTGTCCTAAACCTCAGTTTTAGGAAATGACATCAGGCCTCCAAACGGAAACATACTCGCACAAGCAGGCCAGCTTGGTTTGTTGGAATTTACGTGATTTGAAACTAGTGTCAAAATGAAGCTGTCTTGAGCTCCCGCTCTCCCAGGCAGGGGCTTCTCCTCCCCTTTTCCCGCAGGCTGCCCCCTTCCTCCTGGCCCGCCTCTGCTTCTGCCCTGCCTGGATCTCTGTCTCCAGGTTCCACCAAGGACCTAATGTTACAGGGCAGGGAGAGGGGCATCCCAGAGCCCCCAAACCTGCCTACTCTAAATAGGTTCTGCCGTCTGCTGCATCAAGACAAAACATATAAGAGCTTCAGTGGAAAGGAACATTAATACAGTTAGTGTGCAATACAGACGAGACAGAGAATATAGTTTCTAAATCTAGCACCCAGAGTTACCCATCCCCTCGTGAATAAATGTCCAGCCAAACAGGACCAGCCCAGAGCAAGGCCTGAAAGCCTGTCACTAGTCTAAAGCGCCTTCTGGTGGGAAACCATAAAGATGGGTCAAAAACAGACAAGTCTGCGAGGAAAAGAGCAAAATGAAAACCAAGATAAAAGCTGCCATCGTCACCCTCCCCACGGGTCTCACCACATCTGTTCCAGCCAGGCCAGGACCAAGAAGCAAGTGCAGCTTCTTCACATGTCTCTGCTCCAGGTGCCTCCGCTAGGGCTCCTGCTTGCTCCCCATCCTGTTTCCTGCCCCAGTCTCCTCTCCAGCTGCTTCTCCTCCCTGCTCATCCACCCTCCTTTGGGTGGGGCAGGGAACCTGGAACCTCCCCTTTTCCTGGGACCACCCCATAATACAAAAACAACAGTCTCCCAGGCTGGTCAACAAATCATCTAAGGAACTTTGAAAAAGGGAAGACCCTGTCACCTGAGAGATTCTGAAAGTATGGGGTGAGGCCAGGGAGCCCCAGAAACCATCCTAAAATTCCATCTGAAGCCCCCACTGCAGGAGGAACCCAGGGTGCTTTGTCGCTTCCCCAAGTTTGGGGCCCCTGTTTTCCCAAATAATGATGATATGGGTTTGAACACAGTGGCTGTTGCTACACACATGTGCACAAGCGCGCACACACATGTGCACATACATGTGGCATCTGTGTCCAGTTCACTGCTGAGTCAAGATTGTCAGTTACCTCTAAAAGCTGTCAGTCAGTAAACAACCGTTCACTCCTATCCCGCCGAGCCCCCCACTTGCCCTCCCCACCCCCATGACTGAAGCAGGCCCCTCACCTGCACCTCCTCACCTAGTGGCCTCTGGAAGGGCAGATCTACATGAAACCCCCAGAGCACCTGAGCCCTGCAGGCCCGGCCTCTCCCAGCAGCCCCAGCGGCCTTCCCAGACTAGACCGAGTCTTCAGCGGTGAGGAGTCGCATGCGGTGTTTCCCAGAGTCTTTGATTCTGCTGCCTGGCATAGCTGATAGGTGTTCCGCGGAAAACACTTTGGGAAAATGTCTCTGAGGAGAGGGCAAAGGGCTTGGTGAGTCGATTATGGGAAAACCCAACCCTGTATAAGACGTTATATGTAAGACAGGAAGGGAGAGAGTTTCCTCTTTACAGAACTAGCCAACAGGTGTTTTCTGCATCGTGGAAGAAAGATAATGAATTTTCAATGCTTTACAGAAAGGAGCCAGTGGCTCTGCTGCCTCTCTCCGCCCTCCACAACACCCTCGTGAGATCCTTGTTCAGTAATTCCCCTGGCGATCTAGACTGAGGCGCTGGGACCCCCAGGGCTGCCCGCCGCTCCTTCAGTGCTTCCAGATAGCGATCCTGTTGGCTGCTCCCACCTGACTCATTTTTTTCTGCTCAAGAGAATTGAAAATGTAATAACCCTCGCCTCTCTCCCCCCCCCCCTGCCTGCCTCCCTGCCCCTCCCCATGTTTCTTCCTTGTCCTCCAGGAACCTTCTGCATCATTTCACTGTGCACCTGTGTGGCCGGGATCAACTTCGAGCTGTCCCGCTACCCGCGCTACCTGTACGGGCTCCCCGACGACATCAGCCATGGCTACGGATGGTCCATGTTCTGCGCGTGGGGGGGCCTGGGCCTCACACTCATCTCGGGCTTCTTCTGTACCTTGGCCCCTTCTGTCCAACCTGTCCCGAGGACCAACTGCCCTAAATCCAGACCCGAGAATGGGACAGTGTGCTAAAAAACAAACCCACACCTATATATATATAAATATATATATATAATATACATATATAAAACCGAACTCAATCAAGATGATGCCAGTGCCAAGGTAGAGTTGACTGGCTCAGGCACCTGCATCGTGCCCGACTCTGTGTTGCCTCATCGCCGAGATGGGGGATCACCCCCATCCTGTGGCTCTTCCATCACTTCTTAACTCTTGGCTCCATGGTCTCCTGACGACAGAGTGAAGGTCACTGCCGCGTCTTGGTCCCCGGCCCTCTCGAGGACAGGGTGGGAGCTGGGCAGGGACGGGGCCAGCGGTCTGAAGGCTCGCGTGGAGGGAAGGTCGTGCCACCTGCTGAGCCCGCGGGAGAGACACACCCACCGGCCACCTCCCCCGGGAAGCGAAGCCCGTAGTGCCTGGAACGTAAGCAAACCCTGGAAGGTCCCCTGCGCTTCCCGGCCCCGCGTCCTCCTGGCCCGCCAGCCACAGGCGAGAGGTGGGAGAGGAAACAGACTGAGGAGGAAGTTTTCTCTTTGCTGCCAACTTTGGGACACAGCCTTAGCGGTGGGATGGGGGTCGGAACGACACGCTGAGGGCAAGTTCCCATCGGGGCAGGACAGAGGACGCGCAGAAGCCCGGTCTCCCCTGCCAGCTGCCTTACACCCAGTGCACCAGGAGGCCGCCCGCCCCCCGCGCCCCGGGCAGATGCGGGCCTTGGAGCGATGTGTGATGTGTGTGAGTGTGGGTGTGGGTGACGACTTCCGGTGATTTCCTTTCTTTTCTCCTTTTCGCCTTTTAAATAGAAACACTGCATTTTGACCGTTGTCTCTGTCATCGGTGTCGGTTTCATGGCCCAGGATGGGGGCCAGGAGCCCGGGGCGGGACAGCGAGGGGCAGGCCTGGACGGGGTGCCGGCTCTGCAGCTGGAGTGTGCGTGCGTGGGGGTCCTCGGTGTGGGGGTTCTCGGAGTTGCTGTTGCATTTTTCTGTTACCTGTAGTACAGCTGAAATCCCCGGCGGGCAGAACCCAGAACAGAACCACAGTGTCAGCGGCCCCTGGGGTTCTGCCGTGGCCGAGCGGGGACGCCGCAGGAGTTAGTCCTCGGCTGTGGAAGGTCGAGACGCAGCCGGGCGCCTCCGCACCAAGAGAAGGGGGACTCGGCTGAGGAGGGAGAAGGCATGTGCCCTCGGCTGCTGTCCTGCATCTACCAATCAAGACCCTTCCCTCCCCATCGTGGAAGCTGTCCTTTGTCACTGGACATCGGCCCCTTTTCTGGGGACCACCTCTGTACAGATAGAAGAAAATGGGTCCCATGCAGAGCGCCCCTCCAGGCCCCATGGGCTCGTGTGTATGATATTGTGTAAATTCCCGAGGACTCTACTCCACCCCCCGCCCCCTGGGTCTGCAAGGCCATGAATCCCAGAATAGCCGGCTCGGTGGCTGGCACCCAGAGGTGGCAGAAGTGCGGCCCAGTTGCTCACGCTCCTTGAGCAAACCGGCCGGCGGGCTTGGGCTGCGAGGTCGGCGGGAGCGTGTGCGGCGGCAGCGCAGGAGCAGGGAGCAGTGGGCAGGCTGGCGACGGTCCCCTGTCACCGCAGCCGCCCTGCGGGGTCCGCAGCCTCAGGGGGCCAGGAGAGAATCCCCAGCCATGCCGCTGCGGGTCGGCCACGTTGCTGAGAATTCAATTGCTTCATAAATAAATAGGGAGGGGGATTTTGCCCCCCGCCCAGCAGCCTTCTTCCCCACCCGTGTTCCTTGTTCCATCGACCCGCCTCCCCGCCTGCCGTGCAGCCAGCCTCCACCTTCTCGCCTCCAAAGCGCTCACCTTCCCCCACATCCACCGGGCTACAGGTTCTGCCTGTCTCCTCTGCTCCTCCTGGCCCTGTGTGTGCGTGTCATTCACATCCAGATAGAGGCGTGACGTGTGCGAGTGAGCTCGAGTGTGCTCTGTGTGTGTGCCTCTGGTGCATAGCGTGTGTTTGTGTCAGTGTGTACCTGGACGCAGGCCTGGGGTGCCACGCAGGCTCCCGTGGCCCTGTGCAGCTGCCATGAGGTGCAGGGCAGAGCGGGGCAAGGGCCGTTCGCTTCCCCTTGAGGTTCTGAGCATTGTTTCTGAGGCGAAGGATCTACTCCTTGAGAAGAAAGATAGTTTTCAGGAAAACCCATTTTTTTCAGTTGTACAGAGAATTTTCTTTGGGGCAGGGAGTGAGATTTCCCCATGGCAGGAAGGGCCTCCGTGGGCTGGAGGAAAAGCCAGAAGTGTCCAGGTTGAGTGGCCCCTGTGTCTTCCAGACATCGTGGGCTCTGCCAGCGGGCAGGTGTAGGTGAACATGGCTGTGCATTTGGGGCAGAGGGCTTATCAGTGACTGCACCCGCATTCCAGCCACTTTCCAGTACTGGAAATTTCCAGGAGGGAAGAAATCCTGGCTGGGGCAGGTGGCTGTCAATCCCTTAAACTTTGCTCAAATATCTCGATCTGAGGACCCTCCCTCACAGACCTGCTCTCCTGCCCTTGCCGGAGCAGGTCATCTCCTCTCCACCTTCAGTCTCTCTGACAGACCTCCAGCACAGCCCGTGCATCCCTTGGCAACACTGAGACGTTAGGAAGATTCCTACGAAAGACGAAGCCCGCCCTCTTCAGTCACCGTCCGCACAGCTGGATCATGGCTGCCTGTTCCACAGCGTGCGCGGAGAGGTAAAGGGACACACACACGAGGCCAAACAAAAATGGCCATGTGGCTGGAACGGAAGCCCAGAACAGGTGGCCAGTGCTGGCCAGCGGGAGAGCTGCCCGGTGACCGTGATCCCTCCAGCGGGGGGCTGGGCCCAGGGTAAGACGCGCATTCCAGCAGTTTGGGCGGCTCTCCATGGCGAGCTGGCTGGGCAGGGGAGGGGAGGGAGGCGCAGTCTCGACCTCAGGGTTCTTCCAGTCCCACTGCTATTTCCAGACCCAAGTACAGTCCAACCTCCCCACGGGATTTAGGGTCAGCAGCTCCCCTGAGCCCCCAGCCCAGGTCAAGCTCAGATCCCTTACACACGTGTGCCCAAGGCTGTGGCCGAGTAGGCCTCACGAGCCCCATGCCCGTCCACCTTGAGCAGGGCCCTTCCAGCTCGCCTTCCCGCCCTGCCCTACGAGACTGGAGGTCCAGGAACAGGGGCGCCTGCCTGAAGCAGTCCCATCTCTTTCTTTCCCCTTTTGGGGAGTTAAGGTTTCTTCTTGTTTCCTTTTCCTCCCCACAGCCACTCCCCTCCTGCAGCCACTTAGCAGCTCTCACAGTTCAGGAATTCTCTCTAGAGAGGCTCGTCCGCCCCAGCAGCCCCTCGCTTGCGCATGGCGGTGCAGGTTTCACAAGGAGGCCCGGGGCTCCCTGGCACCAAAAGATAATGCAGTTTAAAATGTGCCTGTTCCCACTTCAAGCCTCCCACAAGCCCCGGCCTTTCAGCTACCACTCCCTTTCCACTTCAGGGACCACAGCGTCACAAGGACTCGACAGCTCCACCAAGTCAGCACGAGGCTTCCATGTCCAAGTGCAGCATCCCTGGCCCAGAGGCCTCTGGTCTATTCTCTTGCTGGGGGTGAGCGGTCCACCCCCACCCAGCAATGCTGGCCCTTCCTTTGATAAAGGAAGAAGCTTTTGCAAGACCGAGGCCAGGCCGTACCCCTTCACCTCCACCTCCACGTTCATGACTTGAGGCCTAAAGGGGAAAGTTCCCGGTGGTGCTGTCCTGATCTAGGGGGAGGAGGTGCTGTTTACGTGACTCTGAATCGGCTGAGCTGAGTCAAATCCAGAATAATGAGATCAAGCGCAGGGACATTTAGAAGCTGCTCGGTCTTGCCCCGGCCGCTCCTGAGAATGTCCGTTAACTGACCTCCAGGGGCTGGGCAAGGGGCGGGATGCCTGCTCTCTGCTCGTCTGGGGTTCAGTTCATGTGGGAAGCTTGGTTCCTACTTCTGATTCAGACAAGCAGCTAAAGTGAAGCTGTTTTTCTGAAGAGGTTCCCCGTGCTCCAGGGACACCCCGTCCCAATGGACACCCCATCCCAATGGACACGTCCAGGGAAATAGGATGAGTCATCACAAGAGGTGAGGTCACCCCGGGTGGAAATAGAAAGAGTCGGTGCACACGGGCCACATGGACTTCTGTGCTGTCTCCGGGTATAAACTGAGGCAGGAGACAGATTTTGAAACGAGTCCACCTGAGTGGATGGACACACAAAATTCTGTGGGCTCCCCAGCCATCAGCCAGGGCCATCTGCCCTCTTTCCCCTGACGCCGCCATGCTGCAAAAGGTTTCTTAAACATGGTTAGTTCTCAGACTGCGTTTTCTCCCTCCAAGTAATATATGCTCGTTGTAGAAAATTAGAAGATATACCCCCAAAGGCTAAAAGATTGTTCATCATGATCACAAGCTCAGGGCTTGCCTGGGGGTTGGCAGGTGGGGCTCGGGGAGCAGTTCATGGCCACAGTGGTCTGCATGAAGGGGACCCTGTGTCTGGGGCAGCAGGACCTCAGACCTCTGAGCCCCCAGAGATGGTGGAGGCCTCCATGCCAGAGTGTAGAGGGCAGGGTGGGACAGAGCTGAACATGCCTACTTTGGGGTTTTCTTGTATTCTTTCTTGTTTGTGTGCCATCTCCATGTAATCATAGATGGAAGAGCACTGAAGCCAGAGGAACTCACTAATTAAGCTACACAAGCCTAGTGCACTTACTGTAAACTCCACTTCAGCTCCACACACAAACGCTCTGTGTGACTCTGGGCACTGTGTCTTCGCCATACTTGAACTTCCTTATCTACAAGATGAGGATAGTGATAACACTTTACCTCATGGTGTATCAAGGATGACAGAGAAATTGCAAAGTGTTTTTGCAACATGAAGTGTCATATAAATTATGTTCTGTTCAGATTATCCTGCAGCAGTAGGGCGCCCTCTCGAGGGAACATTTCCAACCCTGTGGTCTCGTGGCTCTGCTGAAAGGCCAGTGCAGGGCGTGAGGTCATCTTGGCGTCTGAACGGGACAGGATCTCTCCAACTTAGCATCAGGATTCGATTCTATCCTTCAGGCTCCTCCGAGGCATTGGCTTCTTCATTTACCCTTTCCCAAGCATCCTTCCTATTATCCAAAGCCAGGTCTGCAAAGGTCACACAGTCCTTCCTGATCATTCCCAGAGGGGATGGAAAGAATCTGAGGCAAAAAATTAATGATTAACCAAGGCACTTGGTCAATGCCTTATTATTATTTTTACCATCTTCCTAACCTTTCTAACTGTACATGCCCAAGTGATAGAAGCAGATGAGATTCTGAAACATTTTAATGATCTTTTAAGTTTAAGATGAGAACACATTTCAAGGAACTGGCTCTTCTTCTCTTGTCATGTGGTGAAGCAGGTGGCCTGATGGAAAGCATATGGGATTTTCTAGGAAGTCCTTTAGATGGTGCACCCCTGGGAGATGTCCTGGGTGGGGTCCTGTGTGAGAAAAGCTGCATCCTAGGTTGTAAACAAGAAAAGCATGCATTTCCAGAAGGGTCTCCTCACCTTCTGCTTTGCAGGGGCCCAGATTTCAATGTTAGGGGGAGACTAAGGAAGCCCATGTCATTGTTCCCCACGTAGACAGAGCCCAGCCAGGAGTGAAGCAACTCTCCAGCTCTAGGGGTGTCTTTTCACTAGTGAGGAACAGAACACTGGGTGTAAGCGTGGGGGGTGCATACCTGGCTTCTCAGGACGACACTGACTTCAGCAAAGGCAGCTCCTAGTCTTCGTCCCCAAGAACCGGGCGTTGTTTCTAGGGGGACCCTAGGTCTCTCCCTCCTCCTCTGTCTCCCATTTCTCCCTCTCTCTAGGCCCTGCCTACCCTTCCTTCCTGGGTCACCTGTAGATCCCTTCTAGCCTGAATGTACCCGTGTGTCTGTGCTGTTGTGAATGTGATGATGCCTTTCGCATAACGAGCTCTCACGAACTCACGGTCATACCACCCACCCCCCATTTCCTCCATGGTGTGGCTGTCTTGCTATTCAAGACTATCTGTAAAAATGTACAAATAAAAGTGGAAACTGAAAATAAGGGGAGGGAACTGAGACAAATGTATTGATGTAGCCCTCGGTTTTCTGAGGACTTATGTGGACTGCCCAAAAATCCCAACCGTAGGTGGGATTTGAAGGGAGGAAAGCCATCGGCACAGGAGGTTTTTTCTGGTTGTTTCTCTGACAGTCACTAGTGTCTGCTTGGTACTCTCTGTTATAAAGGTTTTGGCCTTTCAAGTACAATGTATATTCCAAAATGTACAAACAAGTCATCAAAGTCTAAAGGGTGAAGGTCATCGCGAAGGTCAACACCAACACCCAATCCAGGGGCCCTTAAGTAGCTTTGTCACTTCTCCTTCGGGACCTTGGGTGAGTCCTGTTACCTCACCATGTCTCTGTGTCCCCTCAGCCAAACAGGGAATGAGGGGTCTTGGGGGCTCCTGGGGTGCCAAGTTTCCTTGGCCATTCTGCTGCTAATCTTAGGGAGGCTTTGCCCCGCTGGTGTGTGCTGACTGCCTGCAGGTACACTCGGCAAGTTTCCCTCTCTGCCGCCCTCACCCACTCTTTCACGCCTCAGAAAGTAACCTCAAGCTCACAGCCTGTCTGCGCTCAGACTCCAAAGTCTTTTATCTACCTTTTCATTCTCAGATGCCTTTTCCCACCCACTTTAATGAGCTCATTTTACTATCGCTTTTTTTCTGTTTTGACTGACAGAGTTTTGTTGCCCTAGAGTGGCAGAAAGACTGTCCGAGAAGAGCATGCCTAGGAATTGCTTTGTGATCTGTGACTCACTCTACAAACATGACATGACATCAGAAGCAGGGAGTCTGGCTAAGTTGTGCTACCAAATAGGAAGGAAGAAAGCTTTGGTGCGTGGTGGGGTAGAGGCAGTGGGAGGCAGAGCTAGGTCGGCAGTGGAGGGAAGATAAAGAATCCTTTTGGAAGGTAAAATGGCAAAATCACGGAGCACCCTCAGCAGGCAGCCGGCAGGAACTCCAGAAGGCAGGGCTCGGCAGGAAGAGGAAAAGAGGTATAGAGGTGGGTGTTCCCATTGCACAGAGTCATCTTGCCTGAGAAGATTGCCTCTGGGTTCACAGCCAGCTTGGCCAGTGACCAGCTCTGCCTACTCTCTGGAAACGTCCATCCCAACCTTCCACCTCTCTGATGGTCCACAGTGATCACATCCGGGGCCCCATCAGAAGGCGACTTAGACCAGCGCTGTCCAGTGGAGAGATCATGCAAGTCACAAATACAACTTGAAATATCCTCATAGTCCCATTTTTAAAAGGTCAAAGAAACAGAAATTAACTATAAACATATTTTAACCCACTATAAAATATTATTTCGACTTGGAACCTAGATAAAAATTACTAAGCTATTTTATGGTCTTTTTTACTTCTAATGAAGTCTTCAAAAACCAATGTGAATTTTACTCTTAGAAATCACCTCAGTTTGGACCAGTCACAGGTCCAGTGGTCAAAGCTCACATGGCTACAGGCTGCTGTGCAGACAGCCAGGATTTCTCTCTTCCTTCGGCTGCAATGGCCTCCCTTTCACCCGTGAATCACTTACTGAGCTCTTCTGGCTGACAGAGGCTGGAGGTTGGTGTTGGCCAAGTAGAAAGCACAGGAGTCATGTCCAGGCTGCCGCCCTGGCCTCTGGAAGGTCTGCATTTACCTGCTGTCAGAACAGACACACAGCTTGTCAAATCCATGTCCCGTGTGCCCCAGAGGGTGTCAGCGCTGCCCTGGGGAACAGCCCGGTGGCCTGTGGGAAGTTCTAGAGGTCAACGCAGGCCATTCTCTTCAACTACAGCAGCTTAACTTTTATCCTGATACCCTTGACCTTAGAACAGAGAGGGGGCAAACAGTCTTCCTCTTGGTCAAGGATAGTGATCGCCACCACCTTTTGTCCTCTGGTCCAGACCAACCAATTGGAAACTGTTTTCCCTGTGACTTCATTTCCTTCAATGTGTGTCTTCAAGTCAAATGCGATAAGGGTGCATGCTGGGAAGGGCAGTGGCCACAGGCCGACTGGTGTCCTAGGAGGTGGCAGTGACCAAGGCTGTCCCATTGCCTACCTCTGCTCCCCACCCGGAGACCTCCCATCCATTTGAAGAAGCCTCTTTTAGTTCAGGAAAAAGACAACTAGGAAGTCTTAGTTCAGAGAACAGAATAAAATGCAAGTAAGCAACCCCAGGGCATTCTCGAAGCCTTTCAAAAAGCCAGTGTGACAAGGTTTGACTCATTTAAAACTGAACCTTCCGAGCCCTGTGTTACCCAGTGAAGGAAAATGAGCTGATTTATATATGGTTATTAGGGACCATCGCCGACAAAATTCTCAAACACCTGGAGTGTTTCTGGCCCACCAGATTATTGCTCAGTCAATATAAATTTATTTACCTTTACTTTCATTTGCGTAGTGCTTTCTGATTGGTCAGACGAGGAGTGGCGTGTCCTGCAGGGTTCCAACACCGCCTCTGCCCTGGGAGGTAGCAATTCCTGTGGTTATTGGTGCTAAAATAAGATTAAATATTATGTTAATTTGTTCTGATACGATGTGAATAAATGTGTTGTTTAATCTTAACAAGAATGCTACATCTTATCAGATCTATTGTACTGTCTGTTCCTTCTCATAATTAATTAATTACAGGAAAGGTGATCCAAACCAGATCTTGCAACTATTGTGCTATTCTGAGAGGTGAATTTAACAGGGAAGTGGGAGGGGGGATGAAAAGGGAAATTGGCAGGTTCCTGTGACTTTGCAAGGACTGAGAAAGCAGAGAGCACTTGGGGACTTCACTGACACTGACTGCATCTTGCAATTTTCTTTT